GTTATAAGCCTGTATTTGTAACCGGGTGTGGATAAGCTATACAGACGCAGCCTTTAACATCAAACAGCATTGCTTACCAAATGAGATCAGCATCCATGGCTATTTCTATCTCTGCTATAAACAAAGTCATTAAACAAACAGTGCACCAGATGAACACATTATATCCGATCAAAAGAAAAGGCTAAAAAGAAAAACAACTCACTATAAAGCTTGGTCGTTTCCCAAAAAGGAGGAAGTCAAAATGTAAAGCAGTGCGAATTTATACAGAGAAATTTTTTTCTGGGGAATGCGTCAAATTGAGCACGTGCAATTACGTCACTTTTTTGATCCTTTTATGGATATTCCCTCAATTTCCAATTTCCTCCTCTTTCCAAATTCCTTGTGTAGGGTAAGTTCACACTAGCCACCAATCCATCCATCCCCATCCATCTGTCTATCTTTTCTGTACATTCGCCAATCTTCCATACTCAGGCTTTCCATACAATCTCCCTTTTACTTCAACGAAAAAGGCAGAACCATGAAACACAATAACCAACTTCCGAATGCGCATTTCCACAAGGACTGGCAACTCCGTGTGAAAACCTGGTTTGATCAACCAGGACGTAAGAAGAGAAGGAGACTTAATCGCATCAAAAAGGCTGCCAGAATTGCACCTCGTCCGGTTGAGCTGTTACGACCTGCGGTTAGATGTCCCACAATTAGGTACAACATGAAGTTGAGAGCTGGGCGTGGATTTACTCTGGATGAGCTGAAGGTTGGTTTGGTTTAAGTGTATCGAAGTAGCGGAGAATAGGAGATGATTAAAAGAGAAGGAATGAATGAATGAATTGGTAGAACTAGACGAGTTTGATAGTTGGTTTATCATGTGAATGAGTATAGATCAAGAACTAATGCGTGGATAATAATGAGGACTGGGTAACTAACAGTTGAAATGAAGAATTCTCGCTTTTTTGAGACTTTCTGCCAGTAGGCAAACCTTTGATTTCAATGTCCGTAATACAAAAATAACCGTATATGTATATTCATCATTTATTCTTTATTTACCTTTTTGCTTGTACGAATAGAGCGCTGGCATTAACCGTAGAGAAGCCCTAACGATCGGTATTCCGGTCGACCATCGTCGTAAAAACAGATCAGTCGAATCCCTCGAACTTAACGTTGCACGCTTGAAGACCTATAAATCCAAGCTTATCATTTTCCCCAAGAAATCGGGCAAACCCAAGAATGATGATTCGAGTCCGGCTGAATTAGCCCAAGCAAAACAAATCAAAGGACCTGTTTTGGCGATTGAACAAACGTGGGTTACAGAGAGTGCTCGAAAGGTTACGGAGGAAGAAAAGAAGTTCGGTGCATACTCTACCCTTCGGAAGGCACGCTCTGATGCACGTCTCGTTGGTGTGCGCGAAATGCGACGTAAGGCCAAGGAAGAAGAAGAAGCCAATAAGAAGAAGTAGAAGAAAGTTGGAAAGGAAAAGGAAGCTATTGATTATTACCGTTTGTATTGTATTTACATTCGACGGCGCTTGGAAGTTGGAAATAAAGTATAATTGCAGAATGGAGTGCGCGTTGTATATTATTGACAATTAATTGTATTGAATATAAGAAATAATATATTCATAAAGAGAGAGAGGATTTTGTCATGTTTAATATTAATACAGATGTTATATACATGAGCTAATCCATTCAAATGCGAGACTTGGCCAACGTTGGGTCACTGATTTATCGGGACATATTAATATTAATATATCAACTGAAAATTAATAATGCTACTACATAATAATAACAGGTCACCTGAGATCCGAGATCACGTTACCTGTGAAACACTAATGGCTATATATAAGAAAATTTTTTTGCAAGTTGATCATCACGCTTACATTATTTCCACAATTCTTCAAAAAGCGCTTTTTCATCAGATAATTCGTTCAACTGGGCGAATTATCGATGACGAACAAAGTCGTTACAGAATCGGAGAGTGAGAAACACCGTTAATCTATGGGTGCGGCATAGTATACGGAGCGGTCTTCGTCACCACTCCAATGAACTATGACGCAAGGATTGACGGCACATCGAACATGTAAACACTACTTCCACATTAGCAATATAGAAAGAGTTGATTATTGATTTGCAATTACTCCAATTTCGTTCTTAATATTCAGAGAGATAGTATCATTGTGTATAGAGAATGGAGTCAAGCTACTGAACAAACGACAGATGTTGCGAGTAACCTGAAAAACGCAGTCTAGACGTCCAGGCGATGTCATAAAAATAAAGTTATCGTCTTTTGAGTTCAAACCGTTTTGCCATCAGAATAAATAATTATAGAAATGACTACTGAACACGTTATGGTGACTTTTTTAAACTGCTACGTTCGTTGACATAAAAACTCAATTCTATGGAGTGACTAAGATATCTTATTGCAAAGAAATAGAGTGGTAGGACAGTTATCTATTCCATCCGTAGGTGATGAAAAAGTACGGGACGGGTTGACTTCGCCCAGTCTCGCAAATTTCTTGGCATTTATACTAATACATATTTTCGTTTTAGAAAGCTGAGAACCTTATTTGTGTTACAGAAGACAAACCAGAGCGAAATCTAGTCGAGGGTTTTGCCCAGAATATCAAACAGCTAGAGAGTTCATTCCAAATGATATGAGAAAAGAAAGCGGGAGGATGACGATGACTTCGATTATTTATATGTTATTGTCACTCCTGCTGTACACTTTTCACAAGGCAGTAAATTACCATTTAGCATCGAATTTTCCGAAGATGCTTTGAATGAAGACTCCGTAGTATATCAAACGTTACGTAATGGCGTGAAAGAGGTGTTTTGGGCGTAGTATTAGGATTATTAAATGGGGCATGCTGCAACAAAACCAGACAAAGTGAACATTTGAATACATGAGTTAAAATTAAAATGGCTGATGTGGCTGAAAAATTAACTAACATTTTGGTTTAGTGGCACAGCTTTGGCTCATTATCACGCACAACATATGAACTAATTTTCATTGCATTTTTAAATCTAATCATAAAACTTTTTGCTTGAAGCTATACTAATACCATGCTTAATACAGGATCACCTCTATCTATAAAAATAAAATATATGAAACTAATTTACATTAAATCCGCCATGGAACCAAAAAATTACAGCACAATTAGAAGCATTTTAAAAAGGAACAATTACTATTACTTCCTTAATTTCAATCAAGGTCATTTTTTAGTCTCTTTAACTTCAATTTGAGCAACTTGACCATTCTGTTGTCCTTTCAATAATTTGTAAACTCTTTATCTTATCCAATAACTCTTGCTTTTGTCTTTTACTTCACTCTTCAGACTTCTCTTGAAATTTGACTACTTCTTCTCTTTTAATTTCTAATGCTTCCTCAGCTGTGGCTAATTTTTCTTGTAATCTGTTTATTTGTTGCTCATAAAAAGTAGTCATGCTTTCCTTTTGATTAGGTAAATTAGGAAGTTCTTTCTCCTTTGCCTTTTTCCCACAGTCACAAGTATACTTACCACTAAACAAATCCAATTCAGTTTTGGTCTGCAATTTGCCACTTAGTATTAGGTAATTCATCATTCTCAAATTTTTTTTTTACAATTCTTGCAGATTACATCAACTGCAATTAACTTATTGGTCATCTCATGACGAGTTTTTATTAGATTAGCACATCTGTTGTTTTCACTGCAATTAGAGCAAAAATCACAAGTTCTACTCCTATACTCTCATGGCAAATCTAAAAGTGTATATCTTAATTCTTTCATTTATTGTAAAGTGTAAAAATTATTTACTTCTAACTTCTATTTTAGTAACCATTTCTTGCTTATTATTATGGTGTTTCACCTTTTTTGTTAGGTTTTGGAACTTGGTCTTAACCTTTGTTGCTAATTCTTGGAACTTATGCTGCTTTTTAGGTAAAGGTTTTTAAATTTTTTGTAGTCTGCTTTCAATTTTCTGAATTCCTCATTAGTTTTTTCCAATTCTTCCACTTTTTCATCTCAGTCTGCTTGGATTTCCTTGATTTTCTCATCCTTGTTTTCAAGATTTTCATTAGCAGTATCGATTTCTAACGATTTTTCTGCTATCTCTGCATGTAATTTATCCCTTACTTTACTATTTAATTCTTGCAAAGCTCCAATAAAGTCATAATGCATTATGGCATCTAATTCAGCTGCTGCAATTTGTTCTTTTTGTTTTTCGATAATTAATTCTTTTTCTTTTAAAATCTTTTCTAAAACATCAATTTTAAGAATTTTCTCTTCTAACTCTTTCCGATACTCTTCATTTTTTTCTGTTAACTCCTCTTTTTCCCTTTTAAACCTCCGAAAAATCTTTTTGGGTTTGGATATTCACCAATGAACTCCTTTTCAACCTATTTCACCCTCACTTTTGACCGAAAATCCTACTCTTTCTTTTCAGTCTTTTTGATCAGAAATACCATCATTGTGTAGTATAATATCAATGAGGATTATTATCCCCATGATTTCGTTTTCTTTGACTATTTTTTCTTCATCAGTTAATTGCTTTTTCAGTGTTTCAATTTCTTCTAATAATTGTTTGTTTCTCTGTTCGAGTTCTGTTACTACTTTTACTATGCTTATTTATTTATTTTTATTTACGTGTATTCTGTTAATACTGTTACGGCAAGCCGATCTGATGAATCAGATAAGTGAGTCACATGGTAAAATCTTCCTCCGCAGTCAAGCAAAATCCCATGATCGACGTTAATTTTAGAATGGTTGCGTTTTAGGCACCGTGTCGAATTTTGAGTGTCAGCACAAACGCAATTAGCTAACTTAGAAAACGTTTCGATTTTTGCGTGTCAGTACAAACACAACTAGCTAAATTAGAATACTAGAGTGCATGTAGACAATACCTGAGAATCTTCATTGTATTGGCGCTTTGATGGAACACTGATAATCACATTTTCATCTTAGCAACAATATGATTTTTATAAAACACCAATACTAATACAGGTACAATAACAAGAACCAATTTTCATCTCACCTTGAATTGGGAATATTCTCAATATGTTCCTTGCCACTAATACTAACAACATTCTTCTGAGCTTGAACAACATTGTAGTCATTCCCTGTAAGCATTCGATTGGCAACAGTAATATGATGTTGTGCCTGTATTTGAATAGGTCAAGGAAATCAATATGCCTTAAAATAAGCAGAACAGCAATTATCAGAGTTATTATTATGTTTACCTGGAACTTCCGAATATTGAGGGCAGTCTTCATTTCAATGTCATCAAGTTTAGTGCTATGCATTATTCTTTTCCAAAAATCAAAGATGCAGCCACCTTCTTGTGCATCAATCTAAAAGCAAGTAACAATACAATGATCATTTATAGTGGAACACAATCAGATAGAGAATTCACCAGTAATTTGCAGCAGAGGCATAGTCCATCAACATGCAGGAGACATGGTCCTGTGGCTAGCTGCAACACTGGTGGTCCATGCAGGCAAAAGTGGCATTTGCAGTGGAGGTGTAGTCCATCAACATGCAGGAGATGTGGTCCTGTGGCTAGCTGCAGTGTCGTGTCTCTTACATGCAGGAACAAATATACTTACCTTAAATTGATTCTTTAAAGATTTAGCTTTCTTTTTCTCAGCAGGAAGACCATGTTCTAAGAACCAGTTGACTTGTCTGTCAAATGATCTTGTCAATGTAGATTTAACCATGGGGAAACCGCGAATTTGCCAAGCCTTGTGATATGCTAGAGTATCCCACTCATCACTGGGTGTCTCAACAAAGTAGTTGAATCCAGAGTTGTCCAAAGGTGGTGGCATTGGGGATGGCTGTCAAGAGGATTTTTATTGAAATAAGATGTAAGCATAGGTACTTTTAAAACAAGAAACAAATATAAACATAGCAAAAGACACATACTTCTCACAGTAAGAGAGAGACGCGTCTGAATACAGGAGAGACGTGTCTGAATACAGTCAGGGATTTTACCAAAAATGGTTATCGATTCTGGAAAAATCTTGTTGAATTTGATTGGCTCTAATTCGTACTCTTCAACTAAAAATTTTTATGACGGTCAATAAACATACCAGAAAACCTCCTCTTTCATAATCATGTCTCTCTGAAAAGTTGTATAAGACCTGAAAATACGGTAGGAAATTGCATTCATCGGTGCTATATATATAGACTTCTATATTTCATACTACCTACATACCCAAAGCAAGATGTCGCAGTCACAACAGACACAAGCAACTGCATTGAAGGGAATTCCCTTGTCTATTTACTGAATTAGTTGAGAAATACAGTAAATTCGGATTAAAGTCCTGTGAGGACGAAGGAATCGAGCAATTAAACGTCTTGCACTTTACCATGACTTTATACCTGAACTCATAAACCTACAACCTTTCATTCTCATTGCGGAAAACATTATAACCAAGTTATATCTGTTGATCATTTTTATCAGATGATTATACTCTGACGACTCCTCCAGATGATACTAACCCTTCTATGTCTAATTATGAAGAAACGATAAATTACGTCTAGGAACATCTGAAAATACTGAAGATGGAAGCCTAGAAAATCGAGAAACTCAGTCTGTATCAACACTAAAGAAGAACAAAATCGGGAGATATTAGAACTGAAAAGGCGTCTTAATGAATATTGTGAAGAACTAACTTGTACAAAGAAACTGTACCGAGAACAACTTGAAGCAAACGGGAATCTTATCAAACAATGGAATTCACGGTATTGCAAACAGGACAAGCGCGTACAGGCTGTTATCGATATCGCAAATCTATGTACGAGGAATTAAATCCTTAATTAAAGATAATAACAGGTTTTCATTAGAAAACTTGTTACACTATACGCTGCAGGCTTGGCTGAGTAAACGTAATCAAGTTGTCGTAAGGTTTATTGAACTCTAACTAACAATGATGTCAATACAGAATCCTCGAATACCGACAAACTATACAAAAGTGCTATGGCCGTCGATTTGATATATGGATCCAGACACGGCAAATACGTCTTGGGAATGAATCTTACAGCGTCAGCTATCAAATATTCTATCGCACGATCATCTGCAAGATAGAAACTTATCCCGAAGAGGAGGAAGAGTGGCAGCTGAACTCTGAACAATGGACAACAGGAAACTCAGACGATGAAAGAATACCCCCCCCCCCCCCTTTGCTGCATCAAACCAAAGAAGAATAAACGGATTTGACTGGTCAGCTTCTCAAGATGTCCATGGAAAAAAAGTCAAAGAACAAAGTGATAAAATATATTGGATTATCTATATATTAATATGAAAAATAGCAAAAATGGTGGTTCTACTGAGTATGAACTAACATGCAATTCACTTTTTAGAAAAAGCTGTCATTGTAGTTGCTCAAAAATGATTCCAAGAGAGAAGCTTGCTGAATTACATGAGGCGTTTCAAGCTCTTTCTAGATCCGAACAGGAGATATTTTTAATGGCCCGGTTGAGAGCAATGAATGGTGGAGAAATAACAGCCAGCCGACGTCTTAAAAGAAAACGCGTACTAATAAAAGAACTTTTTACTATTGAGATCGCAAGACGCCACTTTGTCAGAAAACGTATCTCAATATGTTAGGAATTGGTCGCACTCACTTCGAAAATCACCTAGCGACAATGGTATAATACCGCAATAGAAAACCAAAATAACCATTGATATAACTGTTGCTACCGCCGTGAAGAATTTTCTCGAAAATTATGCTGAAATTCATGGATTACCAAGGCCTGGTAGAAATGTCAATCGCATTACTCAATCGCTTACACTATTACCAGCCGAAACGAGTTATAAATCGGTTTATCGTGATTTATTGCAGGTCTCGAAAACGATAGCACGTTGAAATTGTTAAAATATGATGCGTTTCGCAAGTTATGGCACCAATTAACGCCTTATATTCAAATTATGAGTCCCAGAACTGATTTGTGCGATACTTGTCAACATTTTCGGAACAGCTTACTGTATAATGTTCGTAAGGAGGTGGAAGCAAAAGACTTATTGAAAAAATACAAACATTTAGTTAAGGCTAAATTAGAGAGAAAGAATTACCACAAAAATACGAAATTAGCAGAACAACAGAGGAAATTAGTAGACGAGAATTATCTTGTGACGGGAGATAAAGCTGATTATTGTAGTGTTGACGCTACTGCTCATTAGAGTTACAAAATGTTCACGTACCCCATTCCGATCAACAGGTAAGTAAGATTTATTATCTCAGTCCACGTAAAGTGCTTTTATTTGGTATTCAAGATGAAGCAGTGCACGGGCAAATTAATTATGTTCTCGATGAAGACGAAATTATTGGCAAAGGCCCTAATGGTACGCTAAGCATGGTATTCGATGGAATTAAGAGATTGAATAAAGGCGAAAGGTATTTGAAGATTACTTGCAATAACGCAGGAGGACAGAATAAAATAATGCCACCATTTGATTTTACTTATATTTAGTAATTTGCGGTTATTATGAACGTATCGAATTGGATTTTATGATAGCTGGACATACTAAATTTAAGTGGGATGGTAACTTTGGATTGATTAAGAAACTATACAGTTGACGCTGTCTATACCGAACCAGAATCGCCAGACCCGATTTTTTCTAATTAATAAATCTGGTTATAACGAACTTTTACTAATAATAATAAATCTGTTTATAACAGATCCGAACTACCTTTCGAAATTTTGTATATTATATTTGCTTTTCCTATAACGAACGGCATAAAAAAATCACGTGTAACATTATGCAGAAATTATTGTTTTAGGAAATCAAAAAGGCAGACTATTGGCGTTACACAGGCAAACTCGATAAGTCGGTCATGCATGATGGACCGACTTATCGAGAGATTTTAAATATTAAAACTGAGAAAAGGGCTTGGGAAGTTTTGGCCTTCTTAGGCCAAAATTGAATCATCGAGAGACCGACTTATCGAGTTTGCCTGTGTATATAGTCCTGGCGTCAATCTTACCAATTAGTAATTTGGTAAGGTTAAATGAATCCTGAGAAACTTAAATAGACGAATTGGAAAACTTAAACAACCCACTATTTTGAGGATAAAATTGTAGCTTTATTATGGAAGCTTTATTTTGAGTGTTTTTATTAATTTGTCTACAAGTAGTTGATAAAGTTTTTATTCTATTTTCGATCTTGATTGTTGTTATTGTTAGATTTAGTAAATAAGCAAAGTGTATTAACTGAATTTGTATAAGTATTATCACGTGACATAACAGAGCAAGCTCTGTTATTGTTATAACGAACTCTGGTTATAACGAACTAAATCCTCCAGCCGGCCAGTTCGGTATAAGCAGCGTCAACTGTACCACGAAATGACTGTAACTTATCAAAGTTGATGTATTTTTTTGCGCGTTGGGTACACCAAGATTTTTGTTGATACTTTTTTCCGGTTGAATTCCGTATTGGGAATTTTCTTTAAAAATTAAATGGTTTACAAAAATACCAGCATTTTCTCTCTGAAGCAGCTCGACCTGGAGTTGTTAAAGCTCAGCTGGTTGTTAATGGTGCTTTTACTGAATTTAATTTGTTAAAAACTAAAAAAGCAAGTGTTCCGAAATTACCAAAGAAATTATAATAAATACTTTTCCATCCTCGCACTAATACTAACCCCTCCTCCTTTGGACTATAAAAGGCATTATCATAATTATAATATCCGCCCATTTGTTAGAGATGAATTCAAGGATATTACTTGCCCAAGACCAACCTATACGAATACTACTGTACTAATGCTGGTAATTTAGACTAAAATCCTCTCCATCATTTCAATGCTCGTTAATTGTCATTAAGATTTCCGTCTAAATTTCCAACGAATCCTGCTAGCTTTTCCCGCTTTTAATTCTTAAAGCTTAAATAAAAAGAAATATTAAAATAATTATATACTTAATATTAATATTCCCTCATAAAAAGATATAAGTATATTAAAAGAATAAATAAAATAAAAAATAAAGTATGGTAAACATAATAACAGAACTTGAACAGCAAAAACAAACAATTATTAGAAAAAGAGAACAAGAAACATTTGGATATAAGCGGAAAGAAACAGTACGACGGAAACAGGGAAACGTTTCTCGATATAAGCGGAAGGTAACAGTACGACGGAGACGGGAAAATGTATCGTTTCATTTCAATTCCATGTATTTATTCGTTTTAGAGTATAGAAAAGCGCAGAAGGCGCAGAACGAGAAATAGATATACAAGCAGTCGTAAATTCCTTAACAAATGGTGTCTTCGGTTGAATAGATTCGATCTTGAATCTAATAATTGTAACAATTCCACTTCATATAGTTAATCGAATAAACCGAACTTATAAATAGTATTCTCTAATCTATATTGTGGATCGCTGATAAGTGTTAAAAACGCTTTCTTGATCAGCGATTGATAGAATCGACCTTGTCCTCGATACTATCGTCCCTTGACAATAAAGATTTAATTAATTCAGATAGCGCAACTAGCAGAATAGTTTCCCAGCCTATAGGCTTTCGACATAATCCCACCGAGAGAAATAGACGGATTTACTCGAGGTTAATTAGAAGTCCAGAGAAGGCGTACGCAAGATTCGAACCCAGCATCGTGAGCGTTTAAACCCAGCAGAAAGATCACCAATTGTCATAGAGCAACTTTTAATAGTCAACTTAGTGAGATTGTTTAAATCACCAGTTCCTTTTAGATCGATTAAATTAGAGCAAGAAGAGAAAGAAAGACCTGTTAAATTTTCCTTACTGCCTAATTCTTCCAAATCGTCGGATCAGCAGTTTTAAAGGGAATTTTAAGGCTTTTAGAGTTGCAGTTAATATTCCCACTAAACAATAATTTCCTCAGTTTGGGGAGATTTAACCGAAGTAGAGATAGTCAGGATCTCGTTGGAAAAGGCTAAATCTCAAGGTCAATATTCGTTCCGCTCTCTCCCGAGTATTGGCTCGTCAGGTATGTAGGTAGTATGAATACATAGTTTAGCACTTTTTAGGTCTTATACAACTTATTGACCATTGGTCGATATCACAAAAAACTTTAGTTGGAGAGTACGAGTTAGAGCCAATCAAATTCAAGAAGATTTTTTCAGAATCAATAACCATTTTTGGTAAAATCCCTGAACACGCGTCTCTCTCTTACACCAGTTTATGTCCGACAGCCATCCCCAATGCCACCACCTTTGGACAAATCTGGATTCAACTACTTTGCTGAGACGAGTGGGATACTCTAGCATATCACAAGGCTTGGCAAATTCGCGTTCTCCCTATTGCTATGGTTAAATCTGTATTGACAAGATCATTTGACAGGCAAGTCAACTGGTTCTTAGAACATGGTCTTCCTGCTGAGAAAAGAAAGCTGAATCTTTAAAGAGTCAATTTAAGGTAAGTATATTTGTATCTGCATGTAAGAGACACGACAGTGCAGCTAGCCACGGGACCACGTCTCCTGCGTGTTGATGGACTACGCCTCCGCTGCAAATGCCACTCTTGCCTGCATGGACCACCAGTGTTGCGGCTAGCCACGGGACCACGTCTCCTGCGTGTTGATGGACTACACCTCCGCTGCAAATTACTGGTGAATCCTCTATCTGATTGTGTTCCACTATAAATGATCATTGTATTGTTACTTGCTATGTTACTTGCTATGTTACTTGCTATGTTACTTGCTATTTGATGCACAAGAAGGTGGCTGCATCTTTGATTTTTGGAAAAGAATGATGCATAGTAATAGCACGAAACTTGATGACATTGAAAGGAAGACTGCCCTAATATTCGGAAGTTCCAGGTAAACATAACTCTGATAAATGCTGTTCTGTTTATTTCAAGGCATATTGATTTCCTTGACCTATTCAAATACAGGCACAACATCATATTACTGTTGTGCTTACTATTACAGGGAATGGCTACAATGTTGTTCAAGCTCAGAAGAATGTTGTTAGTATTAGTGGCAAGGAACATATTGAGAATATTCCCAATTCAAGTGAGATGAAAATTGGCCTTGTACCTGTATTAGTATTGGTGTTTTATAAAAATCATATTGTTGCTAATATGAAAATGTGATAACTATATCAGTGTTCCATCAAAGCACCAATACAATGAAGACTCTCAGGTATTGTCTACATGCACTCTGGTGGGGTAACCAGCTGATAATGCAACTCAAAAAGGTATTGATTCATAGGAAGAAAATTGTAATCTGAAGAAAATATCACAAGAAACATAATAATAAAGTGCCAAAAAACTAGATATTCCAATTCCCTCAATGAACTGAAAGTTTCTCATGAAGAGGAAGGTGAGAGCATGAATTTATTATTATTATTATGGGCATATCAATAAATTAATTCACTTACTTGCTGTTATATGAACAGATCTCCATCTCCTTATTGAAGCTAGTGGTACCAATCCTCTTTCACCAGTCTTGGAGGAATCATGTCGACTTGTCGCAATACCATTTTTTCAAGTCATTGGTATGAAAATCCGTTTTTACATCCTCATACAAACAAATGCTGGTCTATATTGTTACGACGAGTCGGTCTGATGAATCAGTCGATGAAGTCATGTGATAAAATCTTCCTCCGCAGTCAAAATACTA